CCAGACTTTGCACATTTTCCTCTTGACTTTACACGAACTTTGCACACTCGGTTCTTGATCGACCCGAACATTGCACGTCTGCTACTTGATCATCTTACACGGATTTTGCACATCCGGCCTTGATAATCTTTTGACACCAATTATGCACATTAGGTCATGATAACTTTGACACTAATTTTGCACATTGGTGTTTCGTCTTCGGCCTTGTCTTGAGAGCATCGGCCTCGACTCTTCTTACGAGATTACACCAATTTTGCACTTCGGTGTCTTGGTGACTTTACACCAATTTTGCACCTTCTTCTCTTGATGTTCTTCTAAGTGATATAAGACTCGGTTAGGAGACTTATAAAGGTGCAAGGACTGGCTCGAGTGGTGGTCTCGACCGGCTGTCTCGACGTTAGGTCGAGCTTGATGTTTTGAAGCGTGGACGAGTGAATACGAGGAGGATCGATGGGAAACTTAAGCTGGCTGTAGCGCACTCTCTTAAGTTTCAGTGGGTGAGTTTATACGACAAGACTCAAAGGGAGGAGGCTTGAAGTCGATGCGGAATCAAACAAGCTGGCTGTGACGCTCTCTCTTGTGAGATCAAAAGGATGGAGGTGAAGTGGATCGATGGCACCACAGAGATGATGGAAGGATCTCTGATACAGCAAGGCACTCGAGCTTAGGTGAATCACACAACCTAAGAACAAGCAAAAGTCTCTACAAGGCGGCGGCTTGAGAGGAAGAAAGTTCTACTTTATTGATATGAGAAAAAGCGTGAATGTTACAAAGCTGCAGGGGAACCTTATAAAGGGGTTCGTCAGCTAGCCCTAGGGCGACTCAAATAACCAAAAACGACACAGCAACAGGACTTAATGGAAAATTAAAAGAAAAAGGAAAAAGTACTTAAACAACAAAAATGGAAAATAAGCAAAAATAAGCTAACTAGGTTGCTCACTTGCTGGGGCTCGTTCCCTGGTTTCTTGGGATGCTTAAACCACTAGGAGAACTCATTCTTACCTGCACAAATCATAAATATTGAAAATACCTGATTTTGGCTTGAAGTGAGCTTGTTTGAGGCTGAAGTGGTCTTGTCTGGGTCTGGTCCGTCCAGCTTGATTTCCTTGATGGTTTCCTCCTCTTGGAGTCCTTGGAGCTCTAATTGATGAAGATCTTCAAGAGTTTCCACGTGATTACCTTCAAGCTTGTCTTCTTGTTCTACTTGAAGCTTGTTGGTTCCATTGCTTGTCTTGGACGTATCTTGCAGCTCTAAAGTATTCTTTGTTGAAATCTTGATGTTTTTAGCTCCTACACCTGCCAATGAAATAGACTTACAATGGGTTTCGGTTGGAGTTGCTTCCTTGAGGCTGAGACGTGCAAAGTCCTCTGTTAGGTCCAAATCGGGTGCACTTGAGTTTTCTTGAGAAGTCGTAGATACTTGAGTGTTTCTGGACATCTCTCCAAGTTCCATGGTGCTGAGTAGAGTCTCTACAGCCTTGTTGAACCCTTCCTTGAGCCTTCTTGCCTTAGAACGAGTCATTGGTCCATCCTTAACTTCGGGAATGTTTGGTTTGTCTTGGTTTGATTCACAGCTTAGGTCGATGACCTCATCATTCCCACCCTCTTCAGAAGGTTTTGTCCTCAAAACTGGATCATCTGAATCAAAAGGAGATAGATCAGCAACATTAAAACTATGTGACATATTGAACTCACTTGGCAGCTCCAAGCGGTAGGCATTGTCGTTGATCTTCTCTAGCACTTTGAAGGGGCCATCTCCTCTAGGTGAAAGCTTTGAGCTTCTTTGGTTTGGGAACCTCTCTGGTCTCATGTGCAGCCACACCCATTCTCTTGGTTCAAAGACCAATTTCTTGCGTCCTTTGTCAGCCCTCTTCTTGTATTCTTCAGTCTTCTTCAGTATGTTGTCTCGGACCTTCTCATGCAGCTTCTTCACGAACTCTCCTTTGTTTAGACCATCTAAATTGATTTGCTCCGCTTGGGGTATCGGTGAAAGGTCCAAAGGCGTCAAAGGATTAAATCCGTATACAACTTCAAAAGGAGACATCTTAGTAGCCGAGTGAGTAGCATGGTTATAAGCAAATTCGATAAACGGCAAACAATCTAACCATGTTTTCAGATTTCTACCAAGAGTGACTCGAAGTAAAGTAGATAAGGTACGGTTTACCACTTCGGTTTGTCCATCCGTTTGAGGATGACAAGTGGTAGAAAACAACAGCTTGGTTCCAAGCTTTCTCCACAAGGTTCTCCAGAAGTGACCTAGGAACTTAGAATCTCGGTCAGAAACAATAGTTCTAGGTATACCATGTAAACGTACCACCTCTTTGAAGAATAGATCAGCGATTTGTGTGGCATCATTGGTCTTGTCGCATGGTATGAAATGGGCCATCTTTGAGAACCGATCCACCACTACGAAAACTGAATCCTTATGCCTTATCTTTGGTAGTCCTAGGACAAAATCCATAGAAATATCCACCCATGGTGCGTTAGGTATAGGTAAAGGTAAATAAAGACCATGAGGATGTAACCTGGATTTAGCTCTGTGACAAATGACACAACGAGAGCAGTGCTTCTCCACGTCTTTCTTGAGGTGAGGCCAGAAGAAATGGTCAACTACTACAGCTAACGTTTTGTCAACACCAAAATGTCCCATTAGGCCTCCACCATGAGCTTCTCTTAACAGTAACTCTCTAAGTGATCCTTGTGGTACACACAACCTTTTGTCACGAAACAGAAACCCATCATGAAGATAGTATGACCCATAAGCTCCCTTCCCACAAGCTTCATAAGCTTCCTTAAAGTCTGGATCATCTTTGTAGAGGTCCTTGATGTGTTCAAAACCCATTACACGTGCCTCCATTGTTGATATCAATGCATATCTCCTAGACAATGCATCTGCTACAATGTTCTCCTTTCCCTTCTTGTATTTGATAACATATGGGAACGTTTCTATGAACTCCAGCCACTTAGCATGTCTTCTCTTAAGTGAAGTCTGACCTCGTAGATGCTTAAGTGTCTCATGATCGGTGTGAATGATGAACTCCTTAGACAGAAGGTAGTGTTGCCATGTTTCCAATGCACGAACCAAGGCGTACAACTCCTTGTCATAAGTAGGGTAGTTCAATGTGGCTCCGCTTAGCTTCTCACTGAAAAATGCCACGGGTCTCTTCCTTTGATGCAGCACTGCTCCAATGCCCAAACCTGATGCATCACACTCTACCTCAAACATCTCTTCAAAATCTGGTAAAGCTAGAACCGGTGCATGTGTGAGCCGATCCTTGAGGGTGTTAAACGCAGTATCTTGAGCTGCTCCCCATGAGAATGGTGCATTTTTCTTAATCACAGCCGTGAGTGGTGCAGCCACCGTACTAAAATCTTTCACAAACCTCCTATAGAAGCTTGCTAAGCCGTGAAAGCTCCTCACATGTCCAATGGTGGTAGGAGTAGGCCAGTCTTGGATGGCTCTTATCTTTTCTTCATCGACTTGTAGTCCCTGTTCACTCACTACAAAGCCTAAGAAAATGAGACGGTTAGTACAAAACATGCACTTCTTGAGGTTAGCATATAGGCCTTCCTTTCGAAGTGTTTTAAGCACTAGTTCCAGATGTTCTAAATGATCATTTAGGTTCTTACTGTAGATAAGAATATCATCAAAGTAAACAACTACGAATTTACTGATATAAGAACGAAGAACCTGGTTCATTAGTCGCATGAAAGTTCTAGGTGCGTTAGTCAAGCCAAAGGGCATAACTAACCACTCATATAGACCCTGCTTGGTCTTGAATGCGGTTTTCCATTCATCTCCCTCACGCATTCTGACTTGGTGGTAGCCACTTTTCATATCAACTTTGGAGAAGATGGTTGAACCACTTAATTCGTCTAGCATATCATCTAAGCGTGGGATTGGATGTCTGTACTTGATGGTGATGTTGTTGATGGCGCGGCAGTCCACACACATCCTCCATGTACCATCTTTCTTGGGAACTAAGAGTACCGGTACAGCACACGGACTCAAACTCTCTCTAATGTAACCCTTATCCATTAACTCCCTTACTTGTCTTTCTAATTCCTTGCTTTCTTCAGGATTCATTCGATATGCTGGTTTGTTGGGTAAGGCTGAGCCTGGAACAAGATCAATCTGGTGCTCTATGCCTCGAATTGGGGGTAAACCAGGGGGTATCTCCTCGGGAAATAGATCCTTGTACTTGTTGAGGAGGGGCTGAACCGTTGGTGCAATTTCCAGATCACTTATACCTGAGCTTAGACACTCTTTAAACATCATTAGTAGCACAGTGCCTTGGGCACTAATGGTTTTACAAATAGCTCCAGAAGATAAATAAAGGGTTGGTTTTCTTACTTCTACCTCTTTGTTCATCCGAATTTGAAGTTCATGAACTTCAGAAGGACTAAGAGGTGCTAGGTTATACTTACGACCATTATGTGTAAGAGAGTAGTGGTTTGTTCGTCCATCATGTTGTGTGGCTCTGTCAAACTGCCATGGTCTCCCTAGCAGAAGGTGTCCCGCTTGCATTGGTACCACGTCACAAGTGACTTCATCTTGGTATTTGCCCACACTAAACGGTATAGACACTTGCTCGGATATCTTTAGCTCGGTTTGATCATTAAGCCAACGTAGTCTATATGGTCTAGGATGTCTAGTCTTCTCAAAACCTAACCTGTCCACCATATACTTGCTAGCAACATTAGTACAAGACCCGCTATCTATGATAAGATTACATACCTTGTTTTTCACTGTGCATCTTGTGTGAAAGAGGTTTTCCCTTTGTACTTTCTCCTCAGGATTCACAAATGCACTAAGTACCCTCCGAATCACTAAAGTTTCTCCACTGTCTGGATACTCAATGTCATCACTTTGCTCAATGGTTTCATCATCTAGCTCGTCTTGTGACTCATACTCGCCATTGTTAGTGATGATCATGGCTCTCTGGTTGGGGCAGTCTCTTGCATAATGTCCTCTTCCTTGACACTTAAAACAAGTTATATCAAGAGTTATTATTGGGAAACTTACCTTGCTCAGGTCTGTTGGTTTTGGATGTCTCAGCATTGTTCTTCTTGAACCGAGAATCAATCTCCACGTTCTTCCCTTTATCTACAGGTTTTGAGCTGCTAGACGCCCATGTTTGAGATGTCTTGTTGCGACTGGAGAAGTTCGTCTTACGCTTTATCTGTTGTTCTACTTGGGCAGCTAGATGCAACAGCTCATGCAACCCACTATACTGCGCCCTCTCTACCTTCCTTTGAATTCTTTCTTGCAGGCCGTCTATGAATTGGGCCATCAATGCTTCCTCAGACTCCTCTAGCTCTAGGGAGTTCATAAGCTTCTCAAATTCCTCAAAGTACTCATCTACGCTTCTGGTTCCCTGAGACAACTTACGAAAACGTTTTTGTAAGTCTCTATGGTAGTGTTCAGGAACATACCTAAGCCGTAGAAGGTATTTCATGTCACTCCATGTCACTACTGGTCCAAAACGTTGCCTCCTTCTCTCAGCCACGTTTCTGTCCCACCATGCGAGTGCATTGTCAGTGAGCTGCGCGGCTGCAACAGCTACTTTCCTGCGTTCTCCATAGCTATAACACTCAAATATATGCTCTAGACGTCTCTCCCAATCCATGTAGACCTCTGGATCAGATTTTCCTGCAAAAGTAGGTGGTGTTAGTTTCAGGTCTTTGTAAGTGTCACGAGGTTCTACTCGTCTAGCTTGATTCATTCTCAGAGGGTCTTCTCTTCGTTGGTGTTGGCGCAACAAAGGATCAGGGGGTATGTCATCTTCCTCCACGTCCAGAATCTCATCATCCTCTTCACGGATGTTTCTCCTAGCTTGAACATTCCTCTCTCCAGCTCTAGGCTGAGGTGGTGGAGGTTGTTCCAATCTTCCAACCCGGTCTCCAATTCCTCTCATCTCCTCTCTCATACCTGTGAGCATTTGCATGATAGCATCCTGGGGGACTTCATCTCCATCAGCCATAGTACTCCTTAGGTGTTGTTGTCGCTTGCACTCAACAAAAACAACATGAAATTAAAGGTACCACAGAATTGAAAAGTGCTAAATGCAAACAGAAGCAAATAAAACAAAACAAGAACAGGTAAACAATTTCTTTTGATTTTTTTTTTTTTTGGTTTTAATAAAAAAAAGACTTGAAACAGACACTAATCAAAACTAATAACCTAGAAAACAGAATCAAACGAAACTTTTTATGGGGTTTTTATAATGAAACAGAAGCAGAAACAAGCAACAAGAATTTTAAAACAAGTTAATTGAATTCTAAGGGATAGAATGGATAGAACCTGAGGTAGGAACCTTAGGCTCTGATACCAAAATGATATAAGACTCGGTTAGGAGACTTATAAAGGTGCAAGGACTGGCTCGAGTGGTGGTCTCGACCGGCTGTCTCGACGTTAGGTCGAGCTTGATGTTTTGAAGCGTGGACGAGTGAATACGAGGAGGATCGATGGGAAACTTAAGCTGGCTGTAGCGCACTCTCTTAAGTTTCAGTGGGTGAGTTTATACGACAAGACTCAAAGGGAGGAGGCTTGAAGTCGATGCGGAATCAAACAAGCTGGCTGTGACGCTCTCTCTTGTGAGATCAAAAGGATGGAGGTGAAGTGGATCGATGGCACCACAGAGATGATGGAAGGATCTCTGATACAGCAAGGCACTCGAGCTTAGGTGAATCACACAACCTAAGAACAAGCAAAAGTCTCTACAAGGCGGCGGCTTGAGAGGAAGAAAGTTCTACTTTATTGATATGAGAAAAAGCGTGAATGTTACAAAGCTGCAGGGGAACCTTATAAAGGGGTTCGTCAGCTAGCCCTAGGGCGACTCAAATAACCAAAAACGACACAGCAACAGGACTTAATGGAAAATTAAAAGAAAAAGGAAAAAGTACTTAAACAACAAAAATGGAAAATAAGCAAAAATAAGCTAACTAGGTTGCTCACTTGCTGGGGCTCGTTCCCTGGTTTCTTGGGATGCTTAAACCACTAGGAGAACTCATTCTTACCTGCACAAATCATAAATATTGAAAATACCTGATTTTGGCTTGAAGTGAGCTTGTTTGAGGCTGAAGTGGTCTTGTCTGGGTCTGGTCCGTCCAGCTTGATTTCCTTGATGGTTTCCTCCTCTTGGAGTCCTTTGAGCTCTAATTGATGAAGATCTTCAAGAGTTTCCACGTGAATACCTTCAAGCTTGTCTTCTTGTTCTACTTGAAGCTTGTTGGTTCCATTGCTTGTCTTGGACGTATCTTGCAGCTCTAAAGTATTCTTTGTTGAAATCTTGATGTTTTTAGCTCCTACACCTGCCAATGAAATAGACTTACAATGGGTTTCGGTTGGAGTTGCTTCCTTGAGGCTGAGACGTGCAAAGTCCTCTGTTAGGTCCAAATCGGGTGCACTTGAGTTTTCTTGAGAAGTCGTAGATACTTGAGTGTTTCTGGACATCTCTCCAAGTTCCATGGTGCTGAGTAGAGTCTCTACAGCCTTGTTAAACCCTTCCTTGAGCCTTCTTGCCTTAGAACGAGTCATTGGTCTATCCTTAACTTCGGGAATGTTTGGTTTGTCTTGGTTTGATTCACAGCTTAGGTCGATGACCTCATCACTAAGTGACCCAAACTTTGCACGGCTATGATCAAACCACCATATGTCTTCTAGCTTCTTTCATCGCTTCTTCTCATCCGGTTCACTACCTTTCATGGCTTGTGCTCATTAGGTTTAATACTCCCCCTCAAGCTTTAACCGTAAGGGACGAAGGTTAAAGCTTGAACTTGATGAGCGTGGTCAAGTCATGCTTCCTTGAACCACACCAACTTGGCCTCGTCTTGTAGACTCTCGGCCTTAGGCTTTGGGTTAGCCTTTTCTTCTTAACACTCCCCCTCAAGCTTGATCGGCGGGGACCAAGGACCAAGCTTGCAACACACAAAGAACTACCTCGTTAAAAACCTTAGCAAAGAAAACCACTTGGGATAAAACTTTGCTTAAGGGAAAAAGAGTGTAGTCTTTATGGTTGAATGATGTAGCTATGGTCATGGTATGAATCGGATTGCTTGGCTCTTGCTTTGACTTCTTGTTGAGACTTCAATCCTCCGTGTATGAACTCGCTTAAGGAACTCCCCCTTTCGGCCACCACCATGAATTGATCTTCTTCAATGAGTCAAGCGATCAATCGCCTTTGCTTCTCCTCTTGACATGCCATAGCTTCCAATCTTCAACCAGTTCTCTTCTTCTCATCTAGCCTCCAAAATGGCTCTCTTCTCTTTTACACCTTCAATAAAGAGATGTAAAGAATCTTAAGTATATGCCATAAGAATATAAGCTTAGTATGAGTAAGATAGAGTACACAAGATTAAAATGAACTAGCTATTCAAGACTAAGTCCATTTAATCAACCAATAAAGACTCGGATTTAACATTCAAATTCAAGATTCACAATGCTTAATCCGGTTTATTTAAATTCAATACCAATGCAAATGACCAAATTAAATTTCAGATTTTAATCATGACAATTCAATTCAAGTACTTACACAATTCTAATCAAATGATGACTCCTAATCCACTCTAAAATTATGCTTAAACATTTAAATGACAATTTAATTTGTAAGCTAATCATGCGGATTTACTTCAATAATGGAGTCTAACTATATGATCAAATTATGCAATTTCTAAATGAGCATTGATATGAAAAATAACAATGAAAGAGTAAGGATTTAGAGATAGCCTTTTGTCTTCATTGTTGTATGGGTTGGATGAGACTCTTTGCGCCACCATTTGAGCTTCAGCCTTTCATAGGTCTCTCTCCTAATGGTTGGTGTCTCCTTGGTCTTCATCCACCTCTTCTTCTCCATGGGTTGTCTAACTCGGATTGTATGCCGAGTAGCCTTCAAGCGATTGTTAAGATCACTTATGCCACCTTAGTCTTCTTCTTTGGTCAGCCTCTTGGGTTCACCTTCATGGGTCTTCCTCTTGGGTCAGCCTTGAGATCGACTAGGTTGGATTCTTCTTTGTATTAGCACCTTCTTGTGCTGCTTCTTGTTGCTTCTTCAAACGTTTTTAGAGCTTCTTAAGGCTCCTTTAAACGTTTTTAAAGCTTCATTTCTTCACATAAGCACCAAAAACGAGATGGAGAGTGATCCATTGGTTTGCCACCAGCTCAACATCTCCACTTGATCCTCCATCTAGCTTTATCCCTCTCGCTTAAGACCTAATAGGTTCACCTCGCTTGAGAGAGCCATCTTTACTCTTCTCTCGGGTCATCCTTGTCTTTCGGAGCTTACTACTATCATGGTCTTCTCTTGTGGAGTGGTCACCGATTGACCTCCAAGCTTGATGAACACCGGTTCTACACTTCAACCGCTTGTCTTGTGCTTCTTTCTTCTTTAAATTCTTTTAGCTTCCTTTGAAGCTTGAGAATTGTAGAACACTTTTGGGCACCTTTTGACAACACCAAGTCAGCCACTTAGCTCTTAAAGCAAATCCTTCCTCATCATCCCTTCATGGAACAACTTCAAGATTAGTCTTATAAGGCTTCTTTCATGACCGCTTCTTATGTTTCAAGGACTGCTCCAAATCGCCATTTCTTCTTGGAAAACTCATCAAGAAGAGATGGAAGGCAAAAGCCTGAGAATAAATAACAAAAAATAGAGTGTATGTTACCAAGAATAAGAGAATAAGTAACCAAGTATGAGAGTATAAAGAGTATGGACTCAAGAGTGCCAATGGACAAAGTTCTTAGCTTTGTTTTCTTGAGGTGAGATTGGGAGAATGTGGGGTGTGTGAGCAGCCTTGTGAACTCCAAAACGAGCAGTCTTTGTGATCTACTTCGTGGGCTTCAAGATCTGCTCCAAACTGCCTTGATAACTCCAAAATGAGCAGTCTTCATGATCTACTTCAAGAGCTTCAAGAACAGCTTCAAATCGCCATTCTTCTTGATGGCTTCTTTTTCTTCATCCCTTGAGAGATCTTCTTTGGCGTGAATTGAAGAGGCCTTTTGGATTCATCATGATTTTAAATGCTTGAACTTTTCGTTCTAAGACATCCCATGGATCTCTTCCCTCTTCTTTCCCCCATGAGTCTCTTCTTCATGGGCCTTGCTTTGTAGCTTTGAAACCATGGTTCTCCTAACCATGGCTCTGATACCATGTTAGAATCTATGCGGAATATGGCCAGGTTATGAGCCTGGGACAAATCAAGAGTGGGCAGCTCATGCTTCACTCAAAGAGAATCACAAGAACACCAAAATCGGGTTTTGTGTGTTCATGTGTAAATCCATCAAGAAACTAACTCAATGTGAGCTGTTCTTGAGGTAAAATAGGAGCTATACACTTCAATGTGGGCTGTGTATACTCAAGAATAAGTATGAGAAGCAACAGCTCTCTCATACCAACAAAACCCGAATACCCTTATAGAAACGATTTAGAGAATGGGAGAGAATTGGATTGAAAGAATGGTAGAGACCAAGTATTGCCAAGACTTGGTCTCTCCATGAGAATAATATCAACCTAATCTACCCATTTGAGTGTGTAAAGAAACGTTTTGTATAAGGGGAAGACATCCCAAATTGAGAGCTTAGCTTTATTAATGAGTATGTGTTACATATTTATACACAAATAAAAGAGACAAGTTGTCTCACTTCTTGACCTAAAGCCAACGGTCATGAGCATTCAAAATAGCTCACTTAAATCCAAAATACGCTTAAAACCAAAATAGCACTAACGGCTATATGACCTTTAGTTTGATCATGTGGCTTAAAGTGTTTTGGGACCACTTGTTGCTTTCTCCTTGCAACGTCTCTTTAATTCAAACTTGTCTTGGAGTCTTGTGTTGATAGTGACAGCTCCTAGACGTTTGTCTTACTCACATGTGGTCCTCCTTGCAAGTTGCTTCGACCTTATCCACATGTGACTCCTTTGATGCGCCTAAACGGATTCAAATCTCGGGCTACTAAGTTTGATTGGTTTGACACCAATTTTGCACA